CTGTGCCATCCTCACCATCTTTGATATGCTTTGACCCCATTGTTCCAGACATGTGTCCATCTGTCTTACTGAGGGTTGTCCTCTCTTTCTCTGACCCTCCTCCTTCCCCAGCATGATATTCTTTTCCATGGACTCACCCCTCCTGACAACAAGCCCAAACTCTGTGAGACAGCAGTTCTTTTGGCAATCCATGGGATATTCAAGACTCTTCTCCAACACTGCCCAACTTTGGATGCTTGAGAAACAATTAAAAATATCATGACCTTCATCACTTTGGAGAGATCCTTGACAACTGATTTTCCCAATGCAACAGTTAATGTCATATTATCTTAATTTCTTCCCTATGACAGCAGAGGATTATCTGGGAAATCACTCCATGGGGTGAGGGGATGGTATCATGATAAAATTTGTGTAGTGAGTGACCTGGGAGCTATCACATTAGATGGCCAGACAAGGGGGCCTGTTCTAAGATACCTCTATTCCAGTCAAATACTAGCTTTTGTCAGCTGTTGCTTTTATGTGCCATCAGTTTAGTTTTAAGGTTTTTTCCTCTTGAATGTGCCAAAGACCTGTGTTTTAGTGTGGCTTGCACTTGAGGTTTGAGTCTACCTAGAAGTACACTAGAAGAAAAGACTGGAAATCTTATTTCCAAAATATTAGCCATTGAAACCTCTGGGAAGCATACTTCTTCTGTCATACTCATGAATGTCTCCATAAGTTGGGCTCAACTCTATTCCATGGCAATGGGTGGCAGAATTTATGTGTGTTAAAAAAATTAGAGATAAAAGCTTTTCTAAAAATGTTAAGTCCCACTAAGTACCCCTAATACACAGTAGAAGTGAGACTCATTGGTCTAGACTCTAGACTAACTCTCATTTTATAAGAATGAACACAGCCCAGCTGCCAGAATAAAAAATGAAGCCGGCCAAACAGGCTCGAGAGCTCAGCTCTTCAGATTGTTGGTTGGTTCGTTCATTCATTCTAATGCTAATACATTCAAGGCACTGTGTGAGGTATTTTAGGTAAAACAAAGATGATACAATGAAACATATGTGCTTATAACAACAACAACAACAACAACAACAATAATATCTGCCCTTGTATGTGATTGTATTGCTTTTAAAGTGTTTTAGCATTTTAAAAAAATAAGAAAAAAGATGCAATATGCACCTGTCCTATTATAATCATTTTCATTTAATTTGCACAACAACCGATGAAGAATGTATTAAAGAATGACCTTTTTGCAGATGAGAAATGGAGGCACACAGAGGTTAAAGTAACTTGCCCAAAGTCATGTAACTTTCAAATCCCAGAGTCAGAATTTGAACCAAGGAAGTAAGGAACCCTACTCCTAGAAACTATATGACCAGTAAGTGATACTAAGAATAATGCGTTTTGAATTAAAGAAAACTCTTGTGACTTATTATTAACATTACTGTTGGCCACATAGCTGTGCTTTAACGATGTTTATTTTTTTTAAAACAGACTGCAATGCAGGTTATACTGGATATCCTAAATGTGGAAGAATATGAGCATAAAAGTTCCAATTATGGTCTCTTATTTCTTTGGGCTTCTCTGTCCAACACTGTTCCTGTAAGTATGTTAGTAAAAGGTTTTATTTCTATAAATCTATAAGATTTAAACTTGTTTGTCTGTGTGTGTACCATAGAGCTGGAAATGACCCATAGCTGACCCATCATTGGGTTTTCAGAGGCAGTTAATAGCACATGAGGAGATTCCCCATTCTCCCACAGAGCAGCTGGTGGCTTTGAACTATGTGCCTTCAGAATTGCAGCGTAGCTTCTTGCCACTAGGCCACAAGAGCTCAGATTTAAACCATTGCTGTTGTTGTTAGGTTTCATAGAGTCGCCTGCAACTCATAGCCACCCTGTGTACAACAGCCCCAAACCCTGCTCTGTCCTGTGTCAACTTCATTGTCTCCAACACACCTATTCCCACTACTCCAATCACTGAATCTATCCATCTCATTGAGAGTCTTCCTCTCCTGTGCCGTCCCTCCACTCTCCTAAACATGATGTCCCTCTCCAAGGACTGGTTCCTCCTTGAAACATGCCCAAAGTATGTCAGACAGAGCTTCAGAATCCTTGTCTCCAAGGAGCACCCTGGCTTCACCCTTTCCAGGACAAACCTGTTTGTTCTCCTAGCAGTCCATGGTATATCCAACAGTCTTCTCCAGCACCACAGCTCAAAGGCATCAATTCTCTTTCTGTCATCCCTAGTCATTGTCCAGCTCTCCAATACATAGCACACAACTGCAAAACTATAGCCTGGATCAGACGCAACTTAGTCTCCCGCCCGACATCGCTGCTCTTCAGTACTCTGGAGAGGTCCCTGACAACTGACTTTGCCATTGCAATATGTCTCTTAATTTGCTGGCTGCTGGTACCAAAAGTGTTGACTGTGGAGCCAACCAAACTAAAACTGTTAACTATCTCAGTCTCTTCAGCATCCATACTGATGCTGCCAATTGGCCCAATGGTAAGAATCTTCGTTTTCTTGATGTTGAACTTCAATCCATATTGAGGGCTGCAGTCCTTGACTTTCTGCAGCAAGCGCTTCAGGTCCTCCTTAGTTTCATTCAGCAAGCAGGTTGTGTGATTTGTATAATGCAGGTTGTTGATGAATATTCCTCCAATTCTGATGCCATATTCCTCCTCGTACAGCCAAGCGTCCCGGATAATCTGTTCTGCATATAGATTGAAAAAGTATTGAGACAAAATACATCCCTGGCAGACCCCCTTCCCAATTTTGAACCATCCCATGTCTCCTTGCTCTGTTCTGATGATCATCTCTTGGTCCAAGTATAGATTTTGCATAAACACAATCAAATGTTCTGGGATTTCCATTCATCTCAGAGTCAGCCACAGTGGAATCCACACAGTCAAAGCCTTATAAGGAATACATGATTAGAGATTTTCTTTTGTTTTTAAACTGAATAAACTACAGCAAACTTAAAAGAAAATGAGTCAAAGTACTCTCAAAACAACAATAAAATTAATCATCCTCTCTGAGCATTAATTTTCAGGACTTTTAGAGGAAGGCCCTCTATGAGGTGGATTGATTCAGTGACTGGGATAATTGGGATGGGAGTGTCAGAGACAGTGCAATTGGCACAGGACAGAGCGGAGTTTAGGGCTGTTGTACATAGGGTCGCTATGAGTCGCAAGTGACTCGATGGCACATAACAACAACAACAACAACAACAACATTAGAAAAATGCCCTAGAGAAAAACCACACAACGCCCCATTAATGTGACACAGGCAGAGTCAGTCAGTTCTTTGGAATTTGTTGCTGTTTGCTGGTCTGAAAAGATTTAAGTTATTTGTTTCAGAAAGTAACTGATGGGTGGCACAGACCCCCAGCTTGCTAGCTCTTACTGACACCTTTGCCAAGACATCCTAGTGTGTGGATAGAGACCTCGGAAAAGCTTAAGCGTCAGGTACAACGCTACACCACAGGGCTAGGTGACAGTGGGCCTTTCCAAACTCAAATGCCACGTCTGTAAAATGGAATTAATGCTGCCACATCCAAAAGAACAAGGAGGGCTGGGCGGAGGTGCAGCCAGGATGTTCTTTAGGGCCGAGGATGCTGATTCACCTCACAAACTTTGAGCATGTTGTTAAGAGGGGCTATTCCTTGGAAAAAGACATGCTTGGAAATGTAGAAGGTCAGTGAGCAAAAGGAAGACTTTCAACAAGATAAATTGACACAATGACAATAGCAATAGGTTTAAGTATGTCAGAGATGATGAAGATGACACCAAATAGGATACGTTTCAGATCCCCTGTTCATAGGGTTGCTATGAGTTGTACTCAACATTATGGCACCTTACAACAACCACCATCACCTTATGGGATGGTTGTGAGGATTATATAACAAAGAAATAAAAGGTGGCTCCTGGGATTTGGCAGAAAATAGGTATTTAATTAATGTTCATTTTCCTCTCTAGAAATGATTTCCCTGATTACAACCAATTGCCCTTTCCTGGCCTGTCCTCATCACCTCTGACTTTCTTGAATCCACTGAACATAGACGCCCTAGCTCTAGGGTATGTCATTTCAATCACCTTAGAGTGACAATGGCCATCTTGATTTCTGGGATCTCTTATCCCTGCGCGGGAGAGCCACAGACAGCTCTCACGGAGGTGGAATTGTTAGGCTCTGTCTTTTCAGTAATCAAATCTTGTCTTTCTTTATCTCTTTTCTCCTACTTTGTACTCTATTCAAGAGCTCTGGAAAATTGGAGTTCAGGCATCAGATGGGCTTTATGCCAGGTCACCTAGAGACACCTTTGTGGGCTGGGTAACATTGTTGGATTGGTTTAAGGTATAGCCTATAATTCATGAGAATTTTTCTATGGAGAGTGTTTTCTCTTGGAATCTTCCAAATTCTAAGACATTGTCGTCGTTGTTTGTTGATTGCTGTTGAGTCGAGTGCGACTCATCGAGACCCCATGAACAAAAGACCTGAAGCCTTTCGATAGCTATCGTTTCTCAGAGTTCATAGAGTTCATAGAAGCTTGTTGTTTAGGAAGTGGATGCCACTCGTAGTGACTGCAAAATGATAACATCTTCCCAAAAGCAATCAGTATCAATGCTGACGATATCAGTGTTTAATTTGTTTGAAGTCTTTCCTAAAGATCCCTTCAGTAGCAATCTTTATTTACCACTAACCTCATTCGATCTACTCAGAAGCTCCCCCAGTCATGTCTGTCCTCCTTTGACACACTCTTTTGCACATTTAACTGCTCTTTTCTCCCATGTGTTTCTCATTTCCCTTAAAAATGGGGAGCTCTTTGGCGGGAATTATGCCTTACACATGTCTGTGTTTGCTGTGATTTACGGTAGACTTTCTGACAGATAAGAAGATGCAAAATGTGTTGCTGTTGAATCAGCTCTGACTCGTGGTCATTCTCCATTGGGTTTCTGGGGCCGTCATGGTAAAGGGAGGGGCTCCTGCCCATCTTTCTCCTTTGAAGCCACAAGCCATTGATGGATTCGAACTGCAGAAGACTCAGAGCATTTGGATTAACAGCACAACTTTCTATGGACTATGCCCTCAGAACTCCCCTGGCATATAATAGGGATTCTTTAAATAATCTAGGAAGCTCTGGTGGCTTAGTGGTAAGGAGTTGAGCTGCCAACCCAAAGGCAAAAGTTTGAATTCACCAGCTGTTCTTCAGAGAAAGATGGGCAATACCCTCTTATGTCATTTATAACCTTTCAACATTCATTGGGTGGTCAGTTCTAACCCAACAGCACATAACAATAATTGTTGTTGTTGTGTACTGTAGAGTCCAGAACTGACCCATAGCAGAACATAGCAGGTTTTCAGAAGGAGGTTGCCCATCATTCTCCCGTGGAGCAGCTGGTGGTCATGAACTGCATACCTTTGTGATTGCAGCACAGCTTCTTGCCAGTTGGCCACCAGAGCTATCTCTATAACAACAATTGTTGCTATGTGCCATCAAGTCATCTGCGACTCATAGCAACCCTATGTACAACAGCCCTAAACCCTGCTCCGTCCTGTGCCAATCTCACTGTCAAACACACCCACCCCGATTACCCCAGTCACTGAATCAATCCACCTCATAGAGGGTCTTACCCTCCTGTGCTGTCCTTCCACCCTCCCAAGCATCACATCCTTCTCCAAGGACTGGTCCCTCCTTGCAACATGTCCAAAGTATGTCAGATGAAGCTTCAGAATCCTTGCCTCCAAGGAGCAGCCTGGCTTAACCCTCTGTAGGATGAATCTGTTTGTTTTCTTAGCAGTCCATGGTATATTCAATACTCTTCTCTCACACCACAGCTCAAAGACGTCAATTATCCTTGTGTCCTCGCTGGTCATTGTCCAGCTCTCTGATGCATAGCAAGTGATTACAAAGACCATGGCCTGTACCAGGCACACCTTACTGTCCAGAGTGACACCATTGCTCTTCAGTACTTTTGTAAATATCTATTATATACTTTTTGAATGGATGAATAAATGGTGTTCAATAATTTATTCACTTCACCCTCCCATGATGCAGAGGGCTAAGAATTTTCTACCTTTTCCCTGCTCCCCTTTATTCTTATCTATCCAAAATTATGGAAAAACATTGTGCTTACTACCCCTGCCATAGATAAGTGGTCCTTCTTCTCTTCGCCCACTGTCTCTTTGCCAATCATTCATTGGCACTACCAGAGCAGTTTTTTTAGCTCTTTTCACAAATTGTTGTTGTTGCTAGGGGCTGTTGAGTGAAGTACGACTCAGTGAGACCCTCTGAACAGCAGATCTGAAGCCTGTTTTATTCCACTCCAGCTTCACACTTCCTAACACACTAGAGCCCATTGTGACAGTCACTGTGTCAATCCACCTGGTTGAATTTCACAAATATGGGTACATAAATACTTTAAAATCATTTATGCTTTGTTGATTCAATCTGTAGAAAACTCTTTGTTGATTATTTTTTTCTCATGGATTTTTTTAATATAGAATTTTTATTTTATACTAGCTTACTTACAAAGTTCATAAATATTGTTCTTCATGCATGGCTTTTTCAAAAGTAGAAAATAACCTCAGTTTCTAAAAGA